TTGTTTTTGTTTGAGAAATGTTGTTAAAAAAAATGGACCTCTTTTTCGGCCGGCCCCCAACTAAAAGATACATCAGGGGGTTGCCAGAAGGGGGATGTGCCCCCTTCTGTTTGGGGGGTTTGAAGGGGGGCGAAGTCCCCCTCATCGCCAAGAAAATTTTGGACTTGTGAGAGGCTGTAAATGACCCCAGATTGATCATAAGGTAACGTAAAACCAACGCTGAAAAGCATTTGACTCTATCTCAATCCATTGAGAAGTTGCAGCACTTTGAAATCAATTTTGATGGAAAAAATCAACGCAAAATAGTGATTTTTGGCAATTTTGAGATGTCCCCTCGTTGCCATGGTAACAGAAAATTTAAGCCTGAGCATGTTGTTGCAAGGGCAATGGTCCAGTCAACATTTGTGCCAAGTTTGATTAGTGTTGAAGCAGTTTTTATAGTATTATAGCAATTTGAACTTGTAACGGGAGACTTTTCAATGAAAACAGCCATTTTTCACAAAATGCTCATGAAGTAATGGGTTGAATTGTGTCATTTAGGGTCTTGGTAAATTTTTTGTCATTTTTAATAAAACTACAACGAAACAAAGACAGTGATGAAGATTTAGCCCTTTTGCATTTCTATATTTGTCATTAGCTGTTCAAAATATTTGTCTAATTTTATCTAGTATATTCAAGGTTTTCTACACCATCATGAGTGCTGAAGTTTTGACGTTAAGGTACAGCTCTTCCTTGAAGTTTGACACGAGACTTAATCTGTAATAATTAAGTCTCTGAGTATGATGATTTGGAGCTAGACAAAATCATGTCCTGTCCTTAAAAGTCTAAAATTCACTTAATTGCTCATTTTTGCTTTAAAACCGGTATAGTTGTTAGCTAGAATGACACTATGAATATATGGAAAATGTAACAGTTTAACCTTATAACTCTAAACCTTTCTACGAAGGAAATATCTCCAAAAATTCTATTTGTCGCTTGATTTTCTCTGAAATCAGAACTTGAAATAGATTAAAACTTGCATTGACATATAGACATTGTATATGATACAGGCACTGGCAAGTTTCATTATTTTCTGGCTTGCATTTGGACAATTTACCACAATAATGCTTAGAAAATGATTATTGAATATTTTCTTGAAATCGTTAACTTTAATTTTATCAAAGGTAGACATCATGTAAGTAAGGGTCATCGTCGGAACACACGGTACTACTTTTACGGTAAAAAGCCTGGGTTACCGAGAATGATCCCACTGACAATTTAAAGTAAATAAACATTAATTAGTTAAACATTTATAAATGATGTATAACGCAGATCAAGATACTTTACATATCTAATTTGCAGTTTTAGGCCATTTTTATGTTTTGTTCAGATTCAAAACGATAACTAATATTTAGTGCCGACGAGAAAATGTGTACAATATCACAATATCATTTATAGCTTAAGGTCTTCAGCGTACCCGTTTATATAGTATGACATGACATAAAAAACAAAAATATTAAAAAGCGGATTATAAAGTTTTGGAAGCCAGAACTATATAATAAAAATATTGCAAATTTGTTTGGGGAATATTTTAGTTTATCATTTCTGTTATTTGCTAGTTTTTGTTTGCTCTTTAGCCGATATATTGATATATATTTTTATTTAGATTGTTTAATAATAACTATTATTAAGACACGATATGTTTTACAGATCGGCAATAATGTATCAGTTTACCGTATTAAGTTACCATTGTTAACAATCAGTTCACTATCAGTAAATTTCTTTCAGAAGCTGAAATATGTTCTGATTCTACGTGCTACTTAATTATGTACAGGTTAAATGATTAGAGATACATATAGGAACCTTCACTGAACGTTTCACAGATTTATTTTATCTGTTGACAATTTGCAATCTTTAATCAAGCACTGAATCTTGTATGTACTGTCCGATCAGTACTTTCCATAGAAATTCTTTGTGTGTCCTTTGAGGTTACATGTATATTGTTTACATTCTTTGTCAGTGACCTGGTTTACAAGCTTAGGGTTTCATTATCTATAGTGCATATGCAATTATTTATAATACTTATTTTTCTTTTTCGTTTATAGCGAAAATGTCGCCTGTGCGTTTGATCACATTTGACGTCACGAACACGATAATGCGTGTCGCCCGAAGTGTAGGACACAACTATGCCAACGTAGCACGCATGTACGGACAAGACGTAGACGCTGTTAAACTTAATAAATCTTTCCGAACCGTTTACAAGACATACAATGACTTGTATCCAAACTTTGGCGTTCATAACGGATTGACTCCATTTGTATGGTGGAATAAAGTAGTTGTTGATTCTTTCAAGGACGCCGGAAGTGACGGGGAGAATTTAGATAAGATCGCTCAGCATTTGTATGTAATGTTTTCCACTTCACAAGGTTGGGAGATTTTGCCTGACGCCGAAAAGACATTATCGAACCTTAAAGGAAGACGTTTAAAGCTCGGAGTAATTTCAAATTTTGACGATAGATTGGAAAAGATATTGACACAGATAGCGTTGAGGCATTATTTTGACTTTGTTTTAGCATCGGCGGTTGTTAAATAGCCAAACCCAAACCCGTTATATTTTAAAAAGGGATTTTAATATGGGGGGATGGAAAACCCCCAGATTTCTCTTCTGTTGGGAAATGTAACTAATGGCATTTCGGGCAGCTAAAGCAGGGTGTGCTGGTGTCCTGTTTGTTCCGCCAGAGAAAGACATTCCCGAAGATGTTAACAAGACCTGTGTTATACGGAATCTGTATCAGCTAACAGATTATTTACAGACTTGAGTTTTAATTAAAATTGATTGATTAAGCGAGACTTACCTGTAAGTTGAAGGTTGATCATAATTTTATCCAGCACAAATCTAATGAAAATTCTGATGGATATGTTTAGAAAGCATTTTTTTCGTTGTTTCTCTATTATTTCTTTGTGTTTTCTTATATAATAATTTTGTCAGTGATTGTTAGAACCTTTTGATATAAGTTTATTGCTATATATGAGAACACATAGTAGATACGCAAATAGGATTAAAATTTAAATTGAAACAAACTACAAATGATTTGATAGCATGTTGATAATATGTATGCTTATAAAAATGAGACAATAAACTTAACTAAACTACAGAACTCTACAATACATTTACGCAAAATTTGAGCAATCAACACCGAGCTGTCAGAAAATCTTTGAATAATCAAGTACTGTATGTAAAAATTTTTCCATGTAACATTCTTTTCGAGCAGTTTAAGTGGTCTAATTCTACTTGTAAATGTGTGTCAATATATAGAGGATATTTGTTTGTTTGTGTGTATTCATCGAGTGAGATTTAAAAACAGTATTCTCAAGAGTGGCGTACCCACGAGTGAGAATACTGTTTTAAAAGTTCACGAGATGAAATAAAATTACATCTTACACAACAAACAAACAAATTTTCTTTTTATTTTATGCTTAAAAACAAAATAAAATGAAATTTCCTTGATATTAACTTTAATATTAAAATCTGTTTTCCCCACTGGTAGCCTCTATTAAGTACATGTATTGGTCGAATTTCCCATAAAATACAAGTCTTGGGCTGAAAAAATAAGTTCGATAATCAACGTTAAATGGCGGTGATATTATTCATTTTATTGAAAAAAATATGAATGATCGCTTGTTTTACAATTCTAGTAGGAGAAAAACTCCATCCATCCATCCATATTTCTGTTACCTACTGCGAATTTATATTAGACCTGGCTCTGTTAAATGTAAACGGCCGACATTTTGAAAAGCTACAGTATGTATTTCACGGGAGGAAAATAATTGTGTTTGATTCAGAGGGATATGCACTTGCAAATTGACAATGTTTGTAAAAAACTTAACGGAAAAATTGCCTTATTGAAAAAGATATCGTATTTTTTGCACTTTGATATGAAATTATTGTTTTACAATGCATATATATTGCCCATTATGGACTATTGTTGTATTATATGGGGTGAAGGAAACACAAAATACATAATTAATGTTTGTAAATTACAAAAACGAATTGCTAAAATCATTTTACAGCAACCACAAAGATCTCCGTCAATAAATCTATTCGAAACTCTTAACTGGTTACCGTTCCTTGACAGATGTAAATGCCACACGGCGGTGCTTGTTTTTAAAACTTTAAATAACATGGCACCGACTTATATGACAGAACTGATGACTTTATCCGACAACAAAATATATAACTTAAGATCTAGGTCACGAAAAGATATTGTATTATGGACAAGACCTAAAACAAACTATATTAAAGACACATTTTCTTATTATGGCATGAACATTTGGAACAATATACCTTTAAATATTCGTAATGTTAATAACCTTAAATGTTTTAAAGAAAAATACAAAGCATATCTTGATGTTCATATGAATGAATGAGTGAGTGAATGAATAAATGAATGAATGAATGAATTAATTGATTAATGAACGAGCGAATGAACGAACGAACGAATGATGCAATATACGTATATGTTAAAACAAATTGTTGAGTGTCTGTCGAAAGTATATGAGTTGTAATATTCTAAATATTACATATTATACATTCAATTTTCTACCTATGCATGTCCTGTTGTTGTTGTTGTTGTTGTTTTCTATTTCAGAAGGCCACATTGGAAATAAGATATATATGATTGTTATTGTATGTTCTTAATGTGTAACCTTCTTTAAATAAAGATTTTATTATTATATTATTATTATTATATCATTTGGATTTGTTAGTCATACACCTTTTTAAAAGAAAGAAAACTTAATTGAGGATTGTAACGGACAATATATAAGTGTTGACAGATGTGTAAAGGCTGCCGTACGGACGCTGGGTTGTTTACTTATTCTTCGGGCTGATGACTGTCATTGCTTTTCAAGTTTTCACAAAGCATACGGCAGTTATTGTTCGTAAGATACTTAAATATGCCCAAAATTTCATCACGAACAGTTTTGCATGTGGAAGGAATGATTTTCAGACTGTAAAAATGAAACAAAAAAATTAAGATATGATATTTGGTGATTGGTAATTTGGATGAATAGAAGTTTTCTTCTTTTTATTACTTTTGACATTTAAGTTATTCATCAGTTTCAGCTTTGCTTTTCTCTAAGCAGCCTGACATTGTCAAAATTGTCAGCAAAAATAAAATCTTAAAAAACTAGTTTCGCACTTTAAAAACTGTGAAATTATATTTTGATAATTTTCACTGTGAAATTTAACAAATATAATTTTCACGGATAAATCAGCAATCCACTGAAAAGCATAAAATAAACAGAAATAGTCGGATAGCTGTGTTTCTGACTTCCACAAAAACGTATTTTTTTTGTTGCACATGAATGCTAAAGGAAAGAAAAGACGTGCAGACTTCTTAAAATAAATCGTGAAACATAAAATAGCAACAATAAACCAAAATAAAAGATCACCACAAAGACTAGCTTGTACAAAGGTTAAAAATTGTGTAACGTCTTGGATAAAGCATAGTAGAGGTGTCTCCCTCTAATGGTTGTATTTTGTAAAAACAAATAATTTTGTTTTGTGGCTTTAATAATTTATTAAGTTATTTTGAATTATTCAACAAATTTTCATTAAAATGATATCCTTTATTGTACATGCAAGATGATATGTTAAATCCATGCTGTCGTTAAGATAGGTAAGTCAAGTTCATTTAAGATTCAAAATCTTGATATCGAAGTCGGTCCATGCTATATTATGGTCAGATTTGAAACCGTCGAATCATTTGCCCCTCTTATATATAGCCTCTATTTCCGGCAGATTTTTATGCCACCACAGCATCTGCGATGCGGTGGCATATAGCGATTCACCTCTGTGTGTGTGTGTGCGTGTGTTTGTGTGTGTGTTTGTGTGTGTTTGTGTGTGTGTTATATAGATTATATAGTGAACTTAAAAAATCTTCTTGTGAAAAACCACTTGTCCAATTTCAATCAATTTTGGCAGGATTGTTCCTTGGGTGAAGGGCTTCCAAAGTTGTTCAAAGAATTTCATTCCATGCAGAAATCTGGTTGCCATGGCAACCAAAAGGAGTTATAAGAATAAATTAAAAAAATCTTCTTGTAAAGACCCAAAAGGGCTAGAGCTTAGATATTTTGCATAAGGCATTGTCTGGTAGACCTCTAACAAGATTGTTCAAATTATAGCCCTGGGGTAAAAATTGGCCCCGCCCCGGGGGTCATTGATTTTCACTATGTACATATAGTAAAAACTTAAAATACCTTCTTGTAAAAACCCAAAAGGCCTACAACTTAGATATTTTGCATAAGGCATAGTCTGGAAGACCCTTACCAAGATTGTTCAAATTTTAGCCCTTGGGTTAAAATCGGCCCCGCCCTGGGGTCATTGATTTTCACCATATGTACATATAGTAAAAACTTAAAACAGCTTCTTGTAAAGACCCAAAAGGCCTAGAGCTAAGATATTTTGCATAAGGCATTGTCTGGTAGATCTCTACCCAGATTGTTCAAATTATAGCCCTGGGGTAAAAATCGGCCCCGCCCCAGGGGTTTTTGGTTTTCCTTATATGTTTTTGTAAAAATTTATAGTAAAAACTTAAAAAAAAATTCTTCTAGCAATTGACAAATGCTAGAGGTTAGATATTTTGCATGAAACATTGTGTAGTAAACCTCTAGCAAGATTGCTCCCGCCCTGGGGGTCATTGATTTCAATATATACATAATTATATTCAAAAATCAAAAAAAAATCTTATTGTCTGAAGGTACAAGGCTTAGAGCTTTAATATTTGTTAAATAATATCATCTAAAGGTACTCTACAAAAGTTATTCAAATTATGCCTTTTGTGTCAAAATTAGCCCCGCCCCTGGGGGCCATAGGTTTTCCTTATATGTATATAGTAAAAACTTAAAAAATCATCTTCTCTAAATTTACAAAGGCTAGAGTTAAGATATTTTGCATGAAACATTGTGTAGTGAACCTCTTGCAAGATTGTTCAAATTATAGCTCTGGGGTCAAATTGGTTCCGCCCCGGGGGTCATTGATGTTCATTATGTACATATAGTGAAAAAATAAAAAAATATTTTTGTCTTAAGGTACAAGGCATAGAGCTTTGATGTTTATTATATAATATCATTTATAGGTCCTCTACCAAAGTTGTTCAAATTTTTCCCTGGTGTTAAAATTGGCCCTGCCTGGGGCAGTGATTCTCATTATGTACACATAGTAAAAACAAAAAATAAAACAAATGTTTTGTGAATGGGAGAAAGCTATAGCTTAGATGATTGACTTGAAATGTTGTTTGGTGGACCTGTATCAAGATTGTTTGAATTAAACCCTTGGGTCAAAATTATGCCTTGCCCAAGGGGACAGTGACCTACTTTCTTTTCCTTTGATGTACAGCAATGACATTTTGACCATGTGCACAGTTTTAGTTGTAAAATTGAACTTTGATATCAGGTGACCTAGATTTTGATGATGTGACCTACTTTCTTGTCCTTTGATGTACAGCTATAAAATTAGAACCATGCGGTGGCATAGCATTTTTCTCAAATGCAATCTTGTTTAGATTACTTTTAAGCTACATTCAGCAGGTTG